CCCTACCCTGCCGCGATGTGATAGCCCTTGTTGCTTAAGCGCTTCTTTTTGAATATAATAATAATAATAAATATAATTTAATAACATAAATATTAACGTAAACTCTGCAAAATTTCCACATAAAATATACAGTGGAACCTCGGCTTACAAACTTAATCCGTTCCCTGACCTTGTTCGTATGCTCAGTCAATTTTCCTCATTTAATGCCAATTTAATTTGTTTCCAGTGGAATTCCTGCTGTCTGGATGCACGACAAAATAATGCTAATATTAAATCAGTGACTTATTTATCTATCACAATTCATCTGATATGACATAATATAAATCACATAGAAACCTGATATACACTCTAGAATGAATAAAATGTCATTAACGTATGTGGCCAAGTGGTCGCTCCTGGGCTCCCTGCAATGAATATCTCCCCTTCAAGGTGTTATAAGAGAAAGATGGAGTTAGTGAGAATAACTGCATAAGATCACTACACAGTGTCGACACATAATGGAAAATAACTGTGTAAGTACCTGGAGAAAAAAATGCTGGCGAAAAATGTAGGCATGTGCTGTCAAGAGTTCATTTTGTCCTTTTTCTGTCGCTACACTTTATTACTGACCTTAACTGGTATGTACAATTTTTATTTCACTTCATTTTAGTATTGTACATATCGTATGCTGGTCCTCCCTGGCTAAGTCCTTAACCCTCGCACTTAGAGTGTGTTTATCTATAATTTCCTGCTTCAATTCCATGGAAATCATCCTCTTTTTCTTCTCAGCACTCCAACCCCCTCCTTTGACCCATGGTAAGAAAAAAGAAATTTGGCAAAATAATTTCATGAAACTTAAGGAAAATATGAGACTTATCTTCCAACTTCCACCGCGAGTAAACTCTGTCAGCACATGTGCACACTGCTCAGCGATTGTTTTGGTACTCTATTATTAATTTTAGATTATAATACAGTGCACCTGGCATATGAACTTTAACCGACCAAAACCTTGTCTTGTATGGCCGAGTCAATTTTCCTTATTAAATGGCATTAATCTGTTCCATGCGGAATCCTGCTCTCGGAGCATGACAAAAAACACCGACCAACCACTTATGACCGTGTTTGTTTTATGCCAAATATTCTGGAAATAAACAACTAATTTTGTTGTTACACAGTATTTATCCTAAACCTATAGTATAAAATACAATACTAAACAACATAAAAAGGAAAGTAAAACATGAATACCAAAATAAAACAATGTCATTACAAAAATTTTTTTTGATATTCAGTAGTAAGTTCCGACTTATGACGTACTCGATGGAAGGTGTACTTCAATATGAGACATTAATAATCAACTCTATTTCTTATTTATCGAACACAATTCCATCTAATTCATTCACCATCACTCAAGGAATGCACAACAGTGCATCATTTCAATGTTCAGCATTAACTTATTAGCACACAGTCAAGATGATAAATTAGAATCGATTGCTTGGGTACATTTATTCTTTTAGTGGTTGGATTTGTGAAGGACCTGCTTAGCTAATGGGCCCAACAGGCCACTTGCAGTATAAGAATAATAATTTAGGGAACTGGAGCACAGAATAAAGTCCCTTCACTGAGGGGGGTAGGCTACTTTATTCCAAACATAGTAGAGTTCTGTTCCAGTCTGAAATAGCGACAGTTATATACTGTCTGAAGGAGAAAGTATTCACGTTCCTCTCTAGGATCCACAATTCTCACATTTAGTTTAGTTACCAAGGTGTTTTCTCTTCTGTAACCAAATACCATTGATTTTAAGATCCCCTTGCAATAATATACTGTATTGTCATTTGGGGTCTAGAATGGATTATTAATAATTATTCTGTATGGAAAAATTCTTTAGTAGTCTGACATTGAATGAATTAAATTTGGACATATATACCCACCCCCCCACCCCCCGTCACAACCAGAAAAAAAAAAAAACCATTTATGGCAATTACAAAAAAGGTCCCCAGAGTTGATTTCATGGCATTTATCTACATTAAGATTTGATCACCTATTATTGCTCAATTTATCCGTATATGGTTTATTACTCTCTTTTAAATATAATCCTAATGAGATTTAGTCTTTATTATGCCAAAGTTTATTGACAAACATGTTTATTCTTCAGGTTGGGCAAGTACAGAATCCTTTCTATGAGACATTTTTTTTTTTTCTTTTACTAACACCAAGATTTTCTCAGACCCTAATCCATTTTAAGTTTATTATCCAACATATTATTTAGAATTTACAAATACTTTTATTGGGGAACAAATTATTAAATATATGATACAGAGAAGATAAATTAATTAAAGTGCAATATGCCAAAGCCCCTTGTAAAGCAGAGCATTACGGGCAGGCTAAAAATTAACTAAGTAATGATGTATTCAGAGGTAAAAAACATTATTGTAAACAGGTAACAATTAGCACAAATTGAGTATTATAAAGACAGTTCAAGTCATTTACTGTGTCATTCAGTATACTGTTAGTAATGTAATTACAAAAATAACAAAGTTTATTGGGTCACAGATAGACATTATTGAGAACAAATATTCCAGTTGTGGGTGAGTGAAGTGATTTTTGAGAAGAGACATTGAATTTATAAACAACAGTATTTACTTTTATATCACATGTAATTAATTACCAAGATATTAGGGCCGATTTATGTACATTGAGTGAGATGGATAGAGGACATCACAAAAAAAAGGAGTCATCTGTGCCTTGTGTTAAGGGAGGGTTTAAGAACAATCAGTTTTCAATGAATGTTAGTATGGAGTGCAGTAATAAGTATTGAATTTTTTGTAGGTTAGAGTTTGGTGAGTGTGCTGCCGTTAGTGGGAATTGTTATTCTGACTGCAGCCTATTGTTTGGGACATTAGTCGTCTATTATGGTTTTTGAGCCCAATGCACAAATTCCATAGGTGAGGTAGGGTAAATGATGAAATAGGTGGCCAGGAGGGACTGACTGTGGAACATAGTACTCATCATTGATAGTATCTACGGTCCTTGGAAATTGATTGTTTGGTGTTTGGAAATTTGAGTCTATTATCAAGGTGGATTCCTAAGAATTTTCCCTCTGAGCATTTGTGATCCCGTTTATCATTATTTTAGTAATGAGGGACATCTGTAGCGCTGTTAATGAATTAGGTTTTGTCAATGTTTAGAATGAGTTTATTAGTCCTCATCCAGGTAGATATTTTCTTTAATTCAGTATTGGCTAGCGTGACTGGGCTCAGGTGAGAGAAGACGTATGTAGTGTCATCTGCAAATAGTGTGGGTTTTAGTTGCGATGCATTTGGTAGGTCGTTTATATATATGAGAAAGAGAAGAGGGCCTACGACACTTCCCTGTGGGACTCCAACTGTAATTGGCTGTGTGGAAGAGTTTGCCCCATTTGTGTACACATATTGGTTGCTGAGGTATGACCCTCTTATACCATAGTGTGACAATTTTATGTGGAGCAAGTCATGGTCAACTACAGTGGACCCCCCCCATAACGATTACCTCCGAATGTGACCAATTATGTAAGTACGTTATGTTTGGGGGTCTGAAATTGACTAATCTACTTCACAATATTTCTTATAGGAACAAATTCGGTCAGTACTGGCACCTGAACATACTTCTGGAGAGAAAAAATATCGTTAACCGGGGGTCCACTGTATATCAAAAGCTTTTTGTAAGTCAATGAAGATTCCCCAGTGGGACTAACTTTTTCTCTATTACAGTGCATAATAATATCATTACTAGGTCTGAACCCAAACTGACAGGGGTTGTGGGAGATGAGGTAGGAATAGATTCACTTATGAATTAATTTTTTTAAGATTTTAGAGAGAGGGTGCAAGTTGGATATTGGCCTCTAGTTATTCAAGTCTGGTCACATCGTTTATGGATCGGGGTGGCCCTTGCTATTTTGAGAACTGTAGGGAAGGTAGAGGATTCAATGGATGTGTTAAAATGATTTGTGATGCTTTTTTTGTATATAAAGGGTGGTAAGGTATTTAAATCTCCTATCTTGTTTTTTTTAATGTGTTGATAATAAGGGAGACTTCAGTTTTGAGTTAGGAACAGCATGTTCGGGTAGTTGCCAGTCATTGGGTGGGGGGTATCTGAGCTTGGGATTTTATTGGCAATTTTTTTTTTTCCTATAGTGGAGAAGAAATCATTAAGTGTTTGCTGTTTCAGTTGGGGTTCATCTGGTTTTATTAATTCAATTACGCTATTTCGTGATATCTTTTTTGTTCCTAGAATTTCTGATAGGGTTTTCCAATTCTTTTTATGTCACCTTATAAGTTGGATAATCTGTTCTTGTATAATTTTTGAGCCCTTCTTATCAGGCTAGTTAGGATTGACAAGTAACGTTTCGTTTGGTCTCTGGTTACGTAACCCATTCTGTACTGTTTTTCATATAGGTGCTTTGTATTTATGGATGCTGGGTGTTAGCCAAGGACTTTTCAGTCTCTTAGCTGTCGTCTGTTTAATTTTTTAGGGCAATGCTTGTTACAGAGGTATTGGGTATTTTTTTAGAAAATTATTAATACATTCATCAATATCTATATAGAGTTCTAGCTGTGTGAAGTTATTAATGTCTGAAAGTGACTTTAGGAATGTCTTGGGTAATTTGCCAAGATTTATTATGAGGAAGGTAGGGTAGTGGTATTATCTGTGATAATGCCTGATTTTAAAGGGAATATGGTGTTGGTCTAGTAGGGAAACACTAGTCTCTTGGTAGCAACATGTAGGTCCTGGTCTTGCAGGAGATTTATATTTAAGTTACCTGAGAGTAATAAGTTATCTTTGTTCATGTATGCATCAGTTATCATACTTCCTAGGTTTTTCACTAAAACGGCTAATGTTTGACTGTGGTACTCTGTAGATGTTTATCACTTCGAGAGTTTTTTTTTTGGATTTCATATAATCTACCCATCTCTTTTGACCTTTAAAATTATTGTAATAGCTTAATTATCACAGCACAAGGTTAAGGAAACAATATTCACATTCCAGTTTTGATACAATAGTAAAATTCATATACTACATTATTTTTACAAAATATCTAAATTAAATAGTATTCCAATATGAAAAGAAGCACTTAAAATACACCTTCATACAGCTGTGGGCTGTGTGAGTAGTTAGTCCAATGGATACCTCAACATTGGGTTCTTCTCCTTCTTCAGCAACACGACTATTATTATTTTTGTTAGCCATTTTAATCTGTAGTACATCCGAGGCATGTCCTTCCCTTTTTGCTACAAACTGAAAAGTACATTGAAGATATGAGCATTTCCCCAAAATTAACTTTAATTTATAGAAATCACTAAACCCATGGGAGTCATTCAGCACTCTACAGGAAAGAAGAGACAAGGGCACTGGCAGAAAGAGTGAGTGTCACAGCTACTGTAACAAATCATTATATTTTCAGTAAAGGTAAGACCATCGGACAGAATAAGCATGTGAGGGCTTTGATGTATATCAGCTTACACTTGTTTATTCTCAGACTTGGCCTACCTTGAGCATTCCTAGTTATAAGCTTGTGACACCACTGTGTATACTGACAGTTTCACATCCTCCAAAGGAAGAAGTGAGACATGTAGGTGTAATTCCTAATGTGATCCAAGGCCAATTATTTTAAGTTGTATGCTCTTGTCCATACAGATAATATTTTTCATTACTCTATTATTTATTTAAAGTGCATTACAAGTAATTTTTCAGTGCTGTATGAACCTTCTGGGATTAGAACTTTGTTTTCATTAAAATAATTTAAACATCATTCACATTGTCTATGACATATGTTAGCTAACATAAAACACTTCTGGCTATGCAAGAGTTTCCATTTTTTTTTACAGTTCAGGTCCTTTCAATCCACCACAGGTATTTACCAGTCCCTGACTACTTTACAGTGCCAACTCATGTTTCATGAGAATACAGTACTGGTAATGTTGGTCCTCATTGACCTTCAAACCACAATTTGGCTTGTTTATTATTACTAACATCTCTAAGTTGTTGGACCATGAAGGTCAAATAACAGATCATGGCCTCTTCATAAAAGCTTTTACCAGGCCACCAAAAATGTTCCCAGATACACAGTAACAATGAACCCATAAGGAGCAGCTGTAGATGAGGAATATACAGTACCTGGTCCCTATAACCTATTATTACAATCATGAAGAAGCACTTTATGACTGGTAGCAAATTTAGCCCTAGGGAATCCCTTGCAAAGTGATGTTTCATAGTTACTATTCTCCTGCCAATATCCAGCTATTTTTTCCACCAGCAGTGTGGAGAATGGGGATGAGGTTTGAAAAATACTTCCCAGTTTCCACACCCTTTTCCAAAAGGGGCAGAGGGAGTCAGAAGAAATGCAGGCACTGACAAATCTGTGTAACTGCACATAACACTCATGTGTATGCACACTTTCTTTTAAACAGTGTAATTACACATGGTGACCCCTATCTAGTGTGCTTTAAAAATAATAACTTGGACACAACCAGGGGTTCACTAAGGTTATTTTTAAATGTGTTTTCTTTGGGAACATGGATTTACAAGCGAGGTGGCCAAGATGGAAATGAGAAACAGAAGTGTCAGCGAGATGAAAAGCAAGAGCAACATTTCACAAATAAACCACCCCATTGAAGAAGCAACCTTTTGTACCAAGATACCATGTGTTGCAGTGTCTGACAAGATGAACACTGCAACACATGGCATCTTGGTACAGAAAACACCTTGGACAAGCTTTTTTTTTATCCATTTTGATGTTCAAGCAACCTTTTAATGACATTTCCATCTCTCCTGGATCACTATCAAGTTATAACCGAAAAAGGAGGGGGGAAGAAAGATAGAAGACTGATAATGTGATTAATCTTTTAATATTCTTTTGCCTACCAACTTATCTTCCTTTTCTCAATTATGACCAGGATAGATATGTCATTAAAAGAAAATTCTCCAAAGTGTGTTAGTTATGAATTATTCTAACCAAAGTATTGAGGCTTTCTAGGATGGTTGCATTGGCTGTTTCTTGAGAATGAAAGACATACTACTGAAATAGCGATCATTCTGATTGTTTCAGGATGAAGTAGCTTGAAATTGGGGTTAAAAGTAGCAGAAATAGATTTTTTTCCAATATTCCTGAGGATAGGTAAGGTTGATATAATTTTTTTTTTTTTACTAGGTCTGATTCACTTATTGGGACACCACAAACCATGACTAATCATTCCTGGATGTATTTTCAAGAAATCAGTTAAAGCTTTGACTTTGTGTGAATTAAAAATAGAGGGCAAGTGTATATAGAGAGGCCTGAGATGTGATTTACTGAAACAGAAGACATTACTCGAGTGCCTGAAATGTCTAACATTGTTTATTTTTAAAATTAGAATCTTTTTAATTTTAAGTTTGCAAAATTACCAACTTCTGTACACATGTGGAGAGTAGTCTGATAATTGAATGGGGTGGTTTCTTGTGGTCAATAAATAAAACAGAAGGCACAACTAGTAAAATAGCTAAGAATATCATTAAATTGTGCAATGCCATAAATTATGCTCCAACTGCCTACTTTGTGCCTGCATAATTCCATAACTTTTCTATCAAATTTTTGTGCCATTACCTCAGAAAAGATTATCTACCATTTCAAAAGATTAAATCCTGGCATTATCAGCACTTTTAACCTGGGGCTTCTAACAGTGAGGCTATTCAGGGGTACCGATAGCAAAAGGTTAAAATGAATGTGGGAAAGAGCATGGTGATGAGAGTAACAAAATTAGCAATGCAAGACTGAGTATTAAATTAAAGGAGTAAGTAAATGTTTCATATTAGTGGGAATGGACCTATTGCAGAATGGGTCTGAGAGATGAAATGAACCACAGAAGGAAAAAAAAAAAAAGTATGGAAATTTTCTGGAGCATCTATGGAGACAAAGAATTTTATCAGCAAAAGTAAAAAGGAAATGTAGCAGAGTAAAAAGTACCAACATAGTCACATGGGTGGGAAGCATGAATTTAAATGCTACAGTGAAAGAAGGCTGGAGCAATGGAGATGTTTAGAAGATAATGTGTGTTATGAATATACAGAAAATTTGGAGAACTGGTTCCAAAATTTATAATTCAAGAGAGCAAGGAAGGGGTTACTGAGGCAGTGTGGGCACTTAGGATGGAACAAATAAAAAAAAAAAAAGATATTAAGACAGTACATAATCAAGGAGAAGGGAAGAGGGGTGGGATCATCCCAGGAAGGGTTGAAGAAGGAAGGTTTTTGAGTGCTAGGGGATTTAACACAGCTTGTATGAACTGTAATAATATCATAGGTGGAGGCAAGTGGGTATTTGAACTGACATGTTGGACTGTGACAAGGAGTAACATTTATGAAAAGGATTCAGGAGAAACACGCGAGAGAGAGATGGGAAATACAGTGTCTGTATTCTGAAGGAGAGCAATCTGAACTCTGTTCAAATTCAAATTTCAAAGTTTTATTCTCTATAAGGATTACAATGCTGAGATTTACAGAATTTGGTGATTGGGCGTTTACATGTTAAAAAAAATTTTAAGTACAGAGGTACCACAAGACACCTAGCATGCTAGGCACTTTTGGCAGACATAGATAATTCATTAAATATAAAATATTACAAATAAATGAGTAAGATGGTATTATTGGCTAAGATGACAACTACAAGTTTCTGAGTTTAGCAATTGAAATGCTTTTTTTTTGAGCACAATACATAGTTTCAGTATGGAGTATCACAGGCCAATTGATACCACACACTTCCTACAAGACAACAACTGAAATAAGTTTTCAAACATTTTTGGGGGGCACGCCCTTCCTCAGTGGAGGAGGGGTCAACGATTAAAAAAAGAAATGGCTAAAACTGAACAACAGAGGCAGAGAGTAGAAGCCTGACAAGAGAAATTGTGCTACTGTAGAGTTAGCAGTACAAGGCATTCAGGGCTTAAACAAAGGTCTTAGCAGGATACCAAATTACAGCAATATTAATATTCACTGCTTATGAGAAAACAGCTCTGACACCAACCCAGCAAACAGACCACAAAGAAAGCGAGTAGCAATCATATTAATTTGGTTACATTGCTTAGATATTGGTGAACAAGAGGGAGGTCAGAGTAATGCCTTCACTATGGAAGTTGGCTGCTTATGTTTTCTGTGTGCTCTTCAAAAAAAAAAAAATGTAAGGAACAACAATTTAGGAATGGTGTCCTGCAGTTCAAATTTAGTTGGGCACAGCAATTGGAGTTTGGAAAGATCTTTAGGTGGCATGGCAACTTGCACGCATACAATGCGAGTCTGACTGCATATGTGGAAAGTGATCAAATAAACCGAAAACAGCGGTTTATCATAAAGTTTAATGTCACTGAACAACATACTGGCTATACTGGGTTGGAGTACAAAAAAAAAAAAAAAAAAAGTCCAAGTACTGTAAAGGCAAGTCCAGTGAGTAGACTTTTGGATAGGTTTGAGATGGGTAAGGAATTGCCTTCACAACTTTCGTATAATAATAATAATATATCTATTTCTACAAGTACATGTACAAGGTATACAGGCCTAGCTGACATCAACGACAAGATAAGATAAGATAACATTTCGTTCGGATTTTTAACCCGGAGGGTTAGCCACCCATGATAACCCAAGAAAGTCAGTGCGTCATCGAGGACTGTAACTTATTTCCATTGGGGTCCTTAATCTTGTCCCCCAGGATGCGACCCACACCAGTCGACTAACACCCAGGTACCTATTTGCTGCTAGGTGAACAGGACAATAGGTGTAAGGAAATGTGTCGGAATTTCCACCCGCCGGGATTGAACCCGGGCTCTCCGTGTGTGAAGCGGGAGCTTTAGCCACCAGACCACCGGGCCACCTGACATACTACTATATAGAAAGCTGCTTGTTATGCTGAGTATTTTGCGCAAATTAGGTCAGTTTTGTCCCAGGATGCTACCCACACCAGTCGACTAACAACTAGATACCCATTTCACACTGATAGATGAACAGGGACAGCAGGTGTCTTAGGGAAACACATCTCTAATGTTTTCCAGCCATACCGGAGATTCGAACTCTGGCCATCAGTATGTGAGCTGAGTGCGCTAGTGATCGAGCTCCAATTCATTCCAGTTTCCTACTACCTTGAAACTGAAAAGCACTTCCTAACATCTCTATAACTAATTTGTAAGGAATCAAGAGTGAATTGATAGACAATGGACTGACTGGGGAAGTTGGTTCTCTCAGGTGTTGGGATCTTTCAGAATAAGGTGACTTGCAGGCCTGGTCATCTGCCTCACAGGGCAGGTGACCAAAGAAGCAAAACTTGATAAAAAATATTAGGAATTATGTAGGTGCAAAGTTGGAAGTCTGGGTTCAATTTATGCATTAGCAATTTTACCCACTTTGTGTCCTATTTTAAACCAATTCTGATACATAATTCATAGCCATTTCACCTAATATGCCTTATGCTCTATCAAATGTGCATGAGAATCTTATGGTTCAACTATCAGAACCACTTTATAATGTGCACAGAAGTCAGCAATTTGGCTAACTTTACACAAAAATAAAAAATAAATAATAAAATAAAAGTCCACAATAAACACTGTAGGCATTCTAACCACTAGATCAACACATCCCCTGTTCATTAATCACATCCCCAGGCCTATATAACACTTCACTTACATTTTGAATCCATCACAAAAAAAAAAAAAACTGAATTTTTTACCCTATTTCTTGTATAATAAAATATAACCAAGAATAATTGGTCATGGCTTAGGCTGTCTCGGTAATTAAAGCAGACCTAGTAAAAACCCTCTTGCACATTCCACCCTGTGATGCTATATGATCCTTGTGGGTTTATGCTTACTTTTGATTACAATAATCTATGAAAATGGGAAAGTGCGAACTAATGACTATGATGGCAACAATGAGGAGAAAATATGCACTTTCAAAGCAGCAATGAGGTCATGATTTGTGTCTCAAGCTTTGTGGTTGTGAAGTTGTGAGAAATAATTTCACATGGTGGGTCACACTGCAGCATTCACTCACCTTAAGAAGAGGAGGCATCTCCATAGTGCGTGGAAAGATCTTCCGCTCGCGAGAAGTGTTAACACATCTTTGATATGCTTCCAAATATTTGGCCTCCTCATGTTTATGTATCAAACGGAAGTCAGTTTTGTATGCAGCTTTGGAGATATTCGCCACTCCGCAATTCTTCCCACGAAATACTCTTTCAACCAAAATTTTGCCCCTCATGTTATCCTGAAACACAAAATTGAAGATATTATTCTATACACATTTTTAGAAACAAAGAGAAACTACATAGCCTCCCCTCACTTAACCCTTTGACTGTCGCAAGCCCCTTTCTGAAACTGTCATTCTGTCAAAAAACATTTGAAAAAAAAAAAAAAAAAAAAGATATCATTTCTTATGAAATGATAGAGAATCTTTTCTCGATAGTAATACCAAAAGTATGAAATTTTCTAGAAAACTTACGGAATTACGCTCCCGTGAAGTTTGTGATCCTGGCGATACATGCACATTTTAGCTTTAAATAATGACCTTAGTCCATATATTCACAACTGCTAAAATAATCAAGGTGCTAAAGTGTAATACGTTCATTATTTTACTATTATATTCCCAAGCTCCTTTATTTGATCACCACTTTATTTGTTCACCACAACTTATTTTAGTCCCTTTTATATTGTCTCCTTTATTTTAGTTCATATATTTACGTTTATTAAAATAATTCAGGTTCTATTTTTTAGCTATAGAATATTTACTTTGTCTTATACTTAAGTCTAATTATAGATTCACTATAAATCTTATGATTATAAGCATTGATCCTGATACCAATCTCTTATTGAATGACTTAAATGAATCAACCAGCAGAACAATCAAAGGCACTTCTCAGAGCCAACAAGAATGTCAGATCTTCAAGCAAACATTATGATGAACTCACAGCATTACTAAAGTCCCTGAATACCAGTATGTCCATCATTATTCTCACTGAAACCTGGCTAAAGCCAGATGTCTATGCCATTCCTGGTTACACAGCAATACACAACTGTAGGCCAGATCAACAAGGGGTGGCACAGCTATATACTACTCAATAATACTACTGTCAATGATACATGCACAAGGGATGAACATGGGGAATATATAATAGCTAAATTCAAATCCAAATACCTACAAAAACCTCTCGCAGTGATAAACATCTACAGAGTACCACAGTCAAACATTAGCCGCTTTACTGAAAACCTAGGAAGCATGATAACGATGCACACATGAATGAAGATCACTTACTACTCTCAGGAGACTTAAATATAAATCTCCTGCAAGACCAGGACCCACACATTACTGAATTCACAAACACTATGAGTAACTGCTTGTTGCTACCAACAGTAACAAAACCTACAAGAATTACAGAGACTAGTGTTTCCCTACTAGACCACATCTGGACCAACACCATATCCCCTTTAAAATCAGCATAATCACAGATAATACCACAGACCACTACCCTACCTTCCTCATAACTAATCTAGGCAAATTACCCCAAGACACTACTAAAGTCACTTTCAGACTTCATAATGAGGTAGCCATTAATAACTTCACAACAGCAATGACAAACATCTACTGGCACACTGAGCTAGAAATCTATACAGATATTGACGAATGTATTAATAATTTTCTAAAAAATACCAAATACCTCTATAACAAGCATTGCCCTAAAAAACTAAACAGATGATAGCTAAGAGACTGAACAGTCCCTGGCTAACACCCAGCGTCCTCAAATCTATAAATACAAAGCACCTATATGAAAAACAGTACAGAATGGGTCACATAACCAGAGACCAAACAAAACGTTACTCGTCAGTCCTACCCAGCCTGATAAAAGGGCAAAAAATTGTATTACGAGAACAATTATCCAACTT